CTTCGCTACGGTCCGCAAATCAAACAGCACCAAAAGTGCATCCTCACGGCGCTAGGTTTCTTTGTGAATTTGGCATCACCGGCTGAAACAATGGCGCACAAAAAAGCGCAGTTTACGGTGTCTTCATTGTGAGTGATTGGCTTAGTTGGCGGTAAGAGACAGTGAGTGTCATGACGATGCACTTTTGGCGCTGCTTCATTGGCTTAATCAATCAATCTTTATTCATCCTCGGTAAACCTCAAAAGCACTGCTTAATGCATCTGGATCCTCAGCCATTATGGCTACTTCTGGACCCATACATATATAAAGGACGCCGGTTTAACCGCATACAAGTCCCGCTTACAAAATTCAAATAACAAAATGCAAAATTCACGTTTCCGATTTTTTTTTTTTTAGAGTTAGTACAAACGATTGACTTTCTTTTATGTTAGGAATTAATGAGTCTGCGATTGAACTTAAAGTGAAACGGAGTATACTACTGGAAGATATAACGGTATCTTTTCTACAATTATTTCAGCATTTTATATCAAGGAGAAGTCTTTTCAAAGTCGTGCATAGTAATATATAAGAAAAAGAAAAAAAAAAAGCTGCATGATTTTTGGAACGCCACCAGAAGTGATTAAAATTCCCTGAAAGTACACCACAATGGGCCTTTTTCCAGTAAGCTTCTGCGCATGCGTTCACTCCCTCTTCTGGTCTTGCCTCCCACTGTCGCCATGTTTGGAGGGCAAAGTTCCGGTCGACCAACATATTCACCACCTATCTTTGCACGTATTTCGTCTTTTTCGCCCATTCTTGTTTGAGTATATGCTAGTATGGGCATAAAAGGCAACGAAGATCAAGACGGCGGCACGATGCCAATGCATTCTGACGGCGCAGGCAAGTTGGGCTGCCCTTCCTTTATAGTTCGAAGACAATTCCGTAGACGGCGCTTGTTACTGGAAAAGGGTCCATCCCTTCCCTCCCACGAGGGAGGCGCAGCTACCGCTTCGGCCCCCTCGTAAGAGGGAAGGAAATGTGGTTTCCCGTGCGGTGCGCGCCTCGGCCACGTGGACAGGTTAAGCGCAACGATGCGCTCCGATAAGAAATCGAAACCTAAAAACGCGTCCGAACTGAGCGTTTCTTCGGAACGCCGCAAAATGCAGTACGTGCCTTCTACATTAAAGGGGCGGTGCAAGGATTTTATGATTAAAAGAATTTGCAATTCGTAATTTTTGCGTTGTTCATCGTGTCCCAGAGGATAGAGAAAACAGCTTTTTCATTAAAAATGTCGCGATTTTGCTGCATAATCGCAAAGCAAAAGTCGAGCTTTTTCACCCACCTGCAGCCCCAAGTGGCAGCCGAAGGAACTACGGCGAAAAGATTACGTGACCTCGCTCGGCTCTAAGCTGCAGCATAACGCCCGCTAATGTCAGCAGAGAGAAGGAGAGTAAGCGTCCTCCGAGAGAGCAGACGGGAACCTACACGGCACTCCGAATGACGTCACTAGGATGGGGACCAGGTGTGACCCTGAAGGCTGGGAGTGAGTTGAGGGGTGCCCGAAATGCCAATATTTATCTATTTTTACGCAACAACTAGAACAGGCAGGCGAAATCCGTTTTCTGTTCTTTACTTCAGAAGTGTCAGAGGGCAACTTCCAGAAATCTTTGACCGAAGTCCGGAAATCGTTGCACCCCCCATTTAACGCGAAACCTTCTTTGGTTAGGTTGACGGGTGGGAGAGGAGGGGTATACTAGGAGGAGCTCGACCACCTGTGCGCATAGAGGGAGAGAAGCTCGCGAATATGGAAGGTTCTGAAAAATTGTCAGGTTGATCAGCCCGATTAGCGGTAGTGCCGCTTTATCCTAGGACCAACTATCAAGTGTAAACATGGTACGCGTTAAAAACTGTTTGATGATAAGTGCCCTGAACGTAGGCGTCTGGCATCTGGAAACTCAGAGTATCGCCAAATGTTTGTGATGCTGGACTGTTTCACGTATGCAACACGATTGCCCAGCAATTTGCCATATATTTATTTTTCTTAAATAAGTTGATTTAGTTGTCGAAAATCCTCGGCAACTTTATAATTGAAACCATACATATAAATTCACTTAATAAAATATAATTACTCTAAAGTAATGAATTAATAAATTATACCCAACGCTATTACTTTTCCCAAAATGGGCCCTTTGGCAGGGACCAATACGACATTAACCACATTAACCCTTTTTAACGATTTGGCTCACGTTTCGAAAGACACGATGTATAGCACTAGCTGGGAGTAGCTTAATGAATTTATTTATTGTATTCAATATGACATCCATTTAGATTCTCCTCGAAAAAGCATTCGACGCAAGCGGCAGATTAAACTTAATTAAATACATATAGCCAAACACATATAAATGGGAGCTGGGCTAAAATCATAGGACTAAACCGAGGAAACAAAACACAACAACAACACGGAGGAAACACAACAACAGGGACTTACAATTGAAAGTTCATGGCTCTGCAAAAACAGAAATGAACATTGAAAAAAAAAAAAGGGGGGGGGGTGGAGATAACAAACAAAAGCAAACCGATAACATCCGCCTACATACAGTTACCCCCCATTCACACTGGAAGCGGATCCGCGTTCGCGAAGCGGTTACGAACGCGGTTGTATAAAGATCCAGTGCAATTGCACGCGCATTTGATGTCATCAAATGCGCGTGCAATTGTACTGAATCCTTATACAACCGCGTTCGCAACCGCTTTGCGAACGCGGATCCGCTTCCAGTGTGAATGAGCCCTTACACAAACCTGCCACACTTGTTTTAATAAAATCTACTTTGTCACCGCATAAGGAGCGCTCACAATTAAAGGCATGTTTTTCTTGGGTTTGCAAGGTAACCCTCGCCACGAGCGTACAAAAGAATGGGGTGCAGGACGACGTAGGGAGACGAGACGAAGAGACGACTTGGGACCAGCGGCCAGGACATACGCCGACATCGCGTCTTCATCATTTTTCTTAATTCAGTCATATCTTAACTAATAAAACGTTAGTGTTCTTACCAACCGTTCCAGACCAATTCAGCAACCGAGTCAAGTCTCGAACCACCCGAGACGCTACAGCAGAGGTGGCCAAGCTGCGGCTCGCGAGCCGCATGCGGCTCTTTGCGTGTTAAAGTGCGGCTCGCGGCTCCCTCCCCTATCCCTCCACGCCCCCCTCCCCCCCCCCCCCCCCACACACACACACACACTCCCACGCCTCCCTCCCAGTCACACCAGCACTTACCCAAAAAGAGGAATGGAACGCGTTTTAAATCGAAACACAGGTTGCGGTTTGGTAGTATTGTGCTACTGCTACCTCACGTATAGGTGGACTGCTTTTGATTTGGATAGATTGAAAGTTGTTCGAGTTTCGCATACTGCTTTGGACAAAGTGTCAGTAAACCGCGGACGACGCGGTTTACTGACACTTTGCTATACTTCGTAATTTTTTTCTGGAATTTCGTCAGCGAAGGTTGTGCCGTGATTTGGTGGGTAACCAGCCATAACACAAACAGAGCCACGTGCTTTCCCTTAGCCAAGCACGTGGCTTGGCGGAGCTGAGCAACAACAGGATCACGGGGGGGCGGGGGGGGGGGGGGGGGCACTGCTCAGTATGCCTTGAGCCAAACGCACGGGAGCTTGGCATATTGCCCAGCACAACCTGGAAAATGTCAGCGGGTGCTCAAGCCTCTTTCACCCTTCCCCCTTCTCTTCCTTTCCCCCCTGAGACTGCAGCCAAATACAGAGGCGCGAGCTAGCTCGCGCACCATGCACTAAGACGTGCCTTGCTAGAGCGAGCGCTCGCTCTGCTGAAGTATACGTTTCATAGCCGAGGTCTTGTGCCCTCGCGCGTGTAGTCTTGGCTGCAGTCAGCTGAAAGATAAACCGAGTATTCGAAGTTCCAGCCCGCCGCTCGCCCTCTCACGGACGAACAAAAAACCAGAGGAACGGGGACGAAAGGCGGAGACGGTGGCAGGGACCAGAGCCGTATATACAGAGTTTGGCCATTCGTTGGGAAGTATAGGAGGCAAATGAGGAGATGCCATTGACTGAAAGCAGACTGGGCGTGCCCCAGGGCGTCTTCACAAATTCAAATGTGGCCAACCAGAAGCCGGAAATAATACCCTGGCGCTGGTCGTGAGAAACAAAATTAATAAGTGCGTCGGGAGTAACTCTCAGTGACTCAATACATGGTGCACGTGATGTTTCCATCGTGGTCATCCAAAATCATGATGGAAGAGCGCGACTAGAGTAACGATCGACATAATCCGTACGCCGGGCTCCGAGGGACGGGAATCTGCTGTCCGAGCGGTCACACTCTGTCCGAGCAAAACAGAGTTCAGGCGGCACATTCGTTTCTTACATCTTTTTGCATAATCATAACCGAAACATCACATGCACCCCATTTTCAACTATGAATAGTTAATAAATCTAATCCTTATGCTCCTATTAACACTGTTTGTCGCTATCACCGCCAGGGGATTCTTTTTGGCTCCTGGGATGTCACGAGAGCATGCCAAGCCCTTTATGTGCGTCTGGTGCACGCCCTGGCTCTGCCCGCTCGTCCCATTGACCAAACTCTCTCTATTCACGGCACTGGCAGGGACTATCGGCATTGGTGCTGCTGTTTTCGCATAGTTTGGGCTAGCGTCTTCGTGCATCATGCAGTAACGAAAAAAAAAAAAAAATAGTGCGTGAAGATAGTAAATGTTGTGTTAATCTTCGCAACTATTAAAAATCAACATCAACATCTCCCTCACCTGTGATATACTCTTGCCCCGACTGTTTCATAGCTGCAGTCAAATGAATTAATTTTAGCACACTGACCGGCGTCAGCGAGTATGCGCGCAGGAAATGATCTCTCCCCGTCTCGTCAGCCATATTGGAATATTGCCCGGCCCATCTATAGGGCGTTGGAGCCACGAATTGTCGCTCAGAGAAAATGTGGAAAGAAGACAGGACCCAGATGCACGAAAGAGACGACGCACAAGTAACAGGGGGCGGGGTGCAAGGCATTCCCCGAGAACTTTTATTGTTCTTAGTGTCACCATTCATAATGCTCTCTGCGTCCCTCCGCGCCGCGGCGTCTGTATCACACGTCCCTGTTCGCTGCAGGTGGCTCCGACGGTGACCGACATGGATCGTCACGGCGAAAATTGTCCTCTAGAAAATACACGTACATTGGCGCCGCACAATCATCGTTCACGCGCGTCGACACTGCGACGAAAAATACTCTTCATATAAATTACACAAGCATATCGCAAACACAAGAAGCCCCGCGTCCAACGGCGACTGGGAAGATGGAGTGGCGCCCCGACACCCTAAAGTGAGATTCATTTTAATGTGCGGTCGACTGGGTAGCACACAACCATTCGATCCCTTGACGGAACATTTTGGATTTCTTAAATTCGGCATACTTACTTAGATGGGTCAGAACTTTCGGTCTGGGAACTAACGTTCGACTAAAGTTAAAGTTACACACAAATAACTTCTTGGCTCTTTTACCCTTCATCATCTTAGAGCTCCAAGACAGAAAGTCTTAATAGATCGTTTCGATACCTTCGATAACAATACCCGATGAGTAAACGATGCATGCGCTAAGGCGTTGGCGGAGTATCAGGTATCGTATTAGAATGATAAGAACGATCTAAAACTCCCTAGTAAATGAGGAAAAGAAAAACTAGGTTATGGGTGCATCTTTCTCTGGCATTTATTTCGACCAAAAGTGTGGCTGGAAATGAAAGCCAATCGGTCGGGCTTTTCTTAAAATTATTTTGTTTGCGGAAACAGGGTAAAGCGCAGACAAGAGCATCAAATGGTTGCTTCACCACTAGTTAGGCATAACACGGTGCTGTAGCTCATATAGCCAGAACGCGACGGGTGTTCGATGTTTTAAACTTCAAACCACGCGAGTGTGCATATGAGCTAAGATAATTAAACTAACCATGAGCCGCTTAATCACCTGTTTGTGGGAAAAACATGTAGGGCTCTAAATCAGTGAACTAATTCATGCAGGCTATTCAATCGACTGCCCATTCAAACAGATCACGCCATAGAGTGACCTGGAGGCCCATTAGCTGCGAATATGCATCCTCTTGGCAATATCTGTGTGATGGTACGCCTCGAAATGTGCACTCGTACGACGAAATACCTCTTACTCGTAGCTGCCAACTAGATAAAATGGCGCCTTAAAATAACTTTAGTCCTTTTGAAGGCTAAAGGAAAGTAAGATAACGAGAGAACAGGGCAGCAGGCGATCGACTAACAAAGCTTTATCATGAATGTTATTTCTGACCCTGAAGTTTTGAATCAATGAAAGGAGACAGGAAAAGAAGGGCGTGGATGACGTGCTCGAATAAAACAAAAACAAACAAAAAAGCAAGCGCTACCACGGAAAAATCGCTTTAGCCGCAGCAGGGAACGTCCGTGTATTGTTCATGCTTACAAAGTTTACATTATTTCAGTGTAGCCGCCCAAGTCGCACCAAAAAACAATTACTAAATCTTGAAACCTGATATTTTTTTTATGTGTGCGCCATTTTTGTGGTGAAAGGATTAAAATATTAAACGTAACATTTTGTATATCGTACCTTTCATGCACCAAAGGGAGGACCTGTGCCATGAATTCTGCTAGGTCAGAAAAAAACATTTCTCAAAGATAATCGAATAATACAATTTCAGGCAATGATTTCTACCCTTTAACCTGTAATTATTGGGGAAAGATTTCCGGGCACATAAAGCGAAATTCGAGGCTCTGCAAATCAACTATTAGGCATAACTTCGGCAAGAATTATCCTTCTTTAAGTACCGCTGGACAACTGGCCTGCGTCACAAACACGCAAGAGTTGGAGCTGCAAAAAAAAAATGTTTTACGACCCTTCTACGAGCAGCAAAACTCAGTTTTATAGCTCATTTCAATGGCAGAACCTACCATGCAGCGTTGTGACCGACAAAGCAATCGGCGTATATGTACAGTGTCAACTATTTATGCCTGGGTTCAAAAACACTTTTTGTTTTATATATTTTCCTGTTATTGGCTACTGGATAGATATTGCAAGAGCAATTCTTCAGAGCACGTCTGTGTAATCATACATGGTGCTGTCACGCAAACTCCAATACAACTTGTTCATGAAGTGATGCATTGTCTACGGTGTCTTATTGTTTATACAAGTTTGCTATAAGAATGGCACTTCATTCAGAGTGGGTAGAAATATGGTGCAAGTGCATACTCTCAACAACATACCCACTATTTTTCGATGAAAGGGCCAACTTTCCTTGAGTAGCTATTTTTGTTCGTTACGGCAAGATGAGGAACTAGAAATGTATAGTATTATTATAGCTAACAGAGGGCTCATAGGTTTTTCTAAACGAGTTATATTTTGTTTTCATTCACCGGACAGAAAACATGGTGATACCCACATGTTTTTCCTTGCATATGTTTGTAATGCGTAAAACTGTCTGCATTCACAACCAACACAAAAATACATTAGGGTGAAAAAAGATAAAATAGGAAAAGGGATTAACCAGGGATTAAGACTTAGGCCTTAACACCAAGTCCAGCTAATGCAAGCCGAAAATGAAGAAAGAAGCAATAAAGCTAGTAGTTGTTCAACAAGTGATAATACTTTTTAGAACTATCTCATAGAGCATATTTTTGTGTTTTACATTTATTCAACTTTTCTGTGAAAGTTTTGGCACAAACACAACTTTTGTAATCTTGGAAGTAGCTATGATACATAAAACCCGTGAAATTTGTGACACTAGCTTACAACCCCAAGCATTTTGTTCAATGCAGCATTCAAGTTTAGTACCGACTTATTTTGGTGCTGCTTTTAAATTTAAAATAAGAGATATCTGTTAAAAAAAGAGCTACCCTCGAATGATCTTGCATATTCTTCATACATCTTGACAAAAAACGACTGGGTAATATACTATTTTCTAAACTCAGTCGGACACCTCAGACTGCTGTTTGCATGCATCAGCTGTAGACCTACGAGTTTGACAATCTCTAGTGCCACCGAGAATGGCATCCTTTACCCACCGTTAGTCAGGAACCCAAAAGGTTAGGGAAACAACTGCTGCATGGCAGTTTCTTTCAACCAGGATCCAAGATGGCTGCCTTTGTTTTTTGCAGCTCTTCGGCGACATGGCAAACAAAAAACAAGAAACACACCTCTGAAAACGAAAGGTGGGGAACCAAAAAAAAACACCTATAACCTGCGTCTAAGACCGGGCAGTCATTTGCAACAAACACGAAGTAGTGTCGGGCTGCAAAGCAAAGAGCAGCAAAGTAATGCTCACAGAGTCTAGCGTCCACAACCTCCCTCCCCCTTCCCCATCAACACAGGCCAGGGGACCCAGCGCCAACCCGACGCGGCAAGCAAAACATCCCAGAGTCGTTCATTCTTTGCCCGTCTGTCACGTTTGGAGAAGGAGAGCTTTGGCTTCGCAGTGGCGGTTGCTGCTGAGATGAGTATTCTCCCTGCGGGCTCCGAAGGGGGATAGCGGTGTAGCTTCACTGCACAGGTGTGACACAGCAGCGGTACATGTTTGATAGTTCTGGTAGCTTTTGCAGGAAAGTCGGCGCTCCTGCTGAAGACGGCGCCGACTCCTGGCTCCTCGTCGCTCGCCGTTCTGACGTTCGCCCCGCGGTCCGGAAGTGTCGATTCGAACGAAGGTCGGTGGAATGTAAAGCTCCAGGTCCAACCGCGCGATTGTTTTTGTTTTTGATGTTGATCTTTCCACAGGACGAAGTCACTCAGTTCCTCGACATGCCGGCTCGAGTCTTGCGCTTCCGGCCCGCCCGTCGAGGGGGGCGGTCTCCTGCGTGGCTTTCGCCTGTGGCCAGAGAAGCGAATATAAGCTGTGATGCGTTTTCACAGCTTAGTTGCAATAGTGAACACATTATAAGTTAAATTTCATGCTCTAAAAATTAATCCTGTCAAATCAGCCCCCATAACAGATGCATAAGATTAAAGGTTAATAGAATACCAAATATAGTTTCCATGCCACTCTCTGAATTCTTTTCTTCTCTTTTCAGTTACAAACCTATATGAATGCTGTCAGAATGTACGGTATAAATTAGAGGCGTCGTATTGTTCATACAACACGCAGCTTGTTTCACTCTGCGCAGTGCCTTCTCGGTTGTCACTATCTGTTACTATCTGGAAATTAGGAAATCATTTGAAAACTTTCAGAAAAAATAGGGGTTCTAATTTAACCAACATACGGTAAAATCTTGAATGGACAGCAGGGCTATAGTTGGTATACGTTGATGATGAAAAACAGCGCGAAAAACACGAGGACACAAAGGAGAGAATTACACACAGGACAAGGAGTGAATTGCACACAGGACATCTTGCATGAACGCCCTCCCCCGAAAGATCACCCATCCCATTTTTTTTTTGGCCAAATGTTTATAGGATATACATTCCGATACATCGCAAACCCCCGATTCCCGTCGGACATCCAACGATGTCCAACTCAAACCACATCAACCGCGCCACTCGCGGTATAGGTATGGTTCGTTGCAGGTTCTAGCGCGTTTATCGCACCATCCCAGTTGAAAATTCCCATTCAGTTCCAATTGGAATTTTCTTATTGGTACCAATTGGTGACTTATTGGTACCCATTGGGTTTTTGGACAACCAATTGGTCACTGCCAATGGGAACCAACGGGAACCAATGGGAACCATTGGGAACCCATTCAGGTTCCAACTGGAAAAATAATTCCAATTGGTGAGACCCATTGGCCAGTGCGGTTCCAGCTGGAACCCACTAAAACCAATTAGTTCCATTTAAAACCAGTTGGAATTCCAATTGGATTTAATGGGAATTTTCAGCTGGGATGGTACCCGAGTTTGCCGTGTCCGCGATCTGCGTGCGCGATATTGGTGCCCGTTACCTGCGAGTTCGTAGCGGGTTCCCGCGTGCTTATCGCACTTTGAAATGCGAATCTGTTGTGTCTGTTTCCTGCGATGTCGGTTCCAGTGACACCCGAGCTCGTACCGGGTTTCCGCGTGTTTTATCACACCGTGTGCAAATCTGCCGTGTCCGCGACCTGGGGTATCAGTTCCCGTTTCATGTGATTGATAGTGGCTGTCATGGTGTTTATCGGCCGTTTCTCATGACCTTCTGCTGTCTCATTCCCACAGATTGCACACCCGATATTTCTTACCGTTTACCTTTCCAAAATGGGTGGGTGTTACAACGGGGATTTTACGGTGTACAATGGATATCACGAAAAAATGTAAGGGCAGCAGCAGTTTTGGCATTTTCTATAGTTTCCAAGTTGGTATACTATACATGATAGCAATGTCATGCAATATCCGTTAACAAAAGTCGGTAAGTGAAAAAGCGCCGTTAGTGGAATAACTAACGTAAAAAAAAAAAATAAACGGAGAAGGACCAATTATTCCTTAAAAGGAGCAACGAAGATCTAACTTGAAAAGGGACTCCTACCATTGTCCGCACAGCGTGGACAACACTCGTCCTCCTTCTGGATCTTAATGGGGCATGACAGCTTGGCACACCGCTGTCTTCGACACCGTGACTTGCCGTCCTGTTCAAGTAACGCCAGAGGTCAGACTATTTGGCAACAAAAACATAATCATTTGAGGTCTACATGAAAAAAATCCTATGCAATTTGTTTCAAATGTTTTCAAGGAAAACCGGAACTCAGCGCAAATATAATGAAAGGAATTAAAACTCCATGCGTGAAAACGCAGAGGCTTCATTTCAGAAAAATATACAGAAGTTTCTTACAATAGTTCATTGTAAATTCCGAGAATAATCTTTTAGAACCACAAATAAAAACGGGTCACCTCATGCATGTCTTAAATGCACCAAACGTCTAAAGACAGCTCCTATGATATTGTAACTGTCCTTTTGTTTGATGCTGACGGTGAAAAGAAACTAAAAGAAGAGTGACTGTTGACCACATATCTGGCACAAATGCAACATTTTCATAACAAAGACACTAAAGAAGAGGACGTAGGCTTCGGTTCATCTTCTCTATACATTTCTGGCAATAGTGAAGATAGGAAGAAAGTTAGGGAAACCTTATGCATAACGCACCTTGCAGTGGCAGCGGATGCACTTCATCTCCCCAAAGGGCTGCACCGTTGGATGCCATTCCTCCCCATTGGGAAACACTTTCATCTGAAACTGACAGCCTGCACAAAAAGGAAGAGTAGGGGTCCAGGTAAAGGTACTTCCTTTTAGTATAAAATTGTGGCCAACTTCAGTCAGAGGCTAGGTAGAATGAAGGTGAAAAAGCATACTCTAATTGCAGACACTACTTCTCCAGATAATAGCTGCTGGAGAGAACATAAATGAAAATTGAGCAGGCTTAACCTCCTCAACTGTTAGGCAGAACGAGGGATCACGCCATCTGGCATTGGTTCATGCTGCCAATGTTCATCAATCTTGTACCTGGGTTGGTAAAGCTAGCCCTGAACATATACCTAGCTTAAGAGATTGTCTGAGCTTGGTGATTCCTGTCAGAACACCCACTGGTCACAAGCCCATGTCAAAGTATCTGATGATGAATTGACGTATATTAAGGTTTGCACATTTTTGGTATTGAAGGAAAAACCCAAAAGTTGCCTGCCAAATATATTTCTTCTCAAATTCGTTTTTTGCCAAAACAAAACACAAAATTTAAGAAACCTTAAATTAATAAAAAGGCAGATGACTCAGAATTGAATTTCATCACCCAGCAGAGTGTGCGACAACACTTACAAATAAAATCATGGAAAAACGCGCCAGAAAGCGGGGAAGGGGGCTGACCTAAAAGTTGTTGCGAATTGCTTTTTGATAAGATCAGAATAATTAAGGTGTTGGAGAAATGTGTGAGCCTCGCCTGCTTCTTGAGATCATTTGCCTTTATAGACAGATACATTTACTCACTTTTACTAACCCAAGATAACTAGTTTGTGATATGCCTTTTTAATAATTCATCAGGGCCATACTTTTGAAATTAGAAGATGTCAAAGTGCACGATTATGACATTGAAGCAAATGACATGCTTGACTGAAACAATGATTCACAACGTGCCACCCTAGCACAAATATAAGTCAGTTGGCATGTGCCGCATATCATGTGACGATTCCTTTCAATTGGATGGGACGGCAAATAATTTAGTAATCGTAAAACTGGATCAATATACTGACACAAAAAAGATGACTCTTCATATTGTTATCTTTAGGCTTGATTTACAACTTTGTCAGACTAAAAAAGCAGACTTACGAACATGCAACAGCTTTCTACTCGGTATGCTCTCCATCATGAGAACTTTCAACTTTATTCCTAAAGATTTTAGCTGATCCCTAAACAAAAATGTCAAATACTGTTCCATGGATCTAACATACTCATATACACATACTGAATTCCAAGTAGAAGGAAGAAGGAAGAAATAAAGTAATATTAAAGTGAAATAAGCACGTCCATTAGACATATTGCTTGCAGCATGAACTTGCACATCGGCCAGTTTTCAAAAGCACAAACTTTCAAAACCTAAGATATTACTCGATAATTTTTTAACAAGAACATCAATCTGCTGGTAGTCTTTCTTGTACAAACACTTTGCAACTCTTGTAATTGCCTCATGACTATTAGATGCACCGCAAAAGATTGTGGGGGAGGGGGGGGGGGGGGAAATGAAGCCAACCTCCACTGGAGAGAATCTCCTTGGGCGTCTTTTTCGATCCCTGGTCTTTGAGCTGCTGTGTGTCCACATTACTGTCCTGCGACTTGACTGGGATGACATCTAGAGCAAGGTGCAAAGAGATCATTTATATTAGGGGCAGAATTTTTAATTAGAAACTAGAAATCAGCTAGGTAAAAGGCTAGCATAGTAGCAGCAAAACCCTGTCAGAGTAATGGATCTTGATGGTTTCAACTTTTATTAATGGCATTGCAATCATTTCCTCTAAGAGGTGGGTGGATATCCCACGTGTAAGGCTAAATCACCTTGGCAAAATACAACGAAATGTTAGAAACATGAAGAAAATACAATACACTCAAAGTAGATGTTATGATAACAATACATCTCAGCTGATCAAAATTCACGAACTGAATTTCTTGCCACAAGGATATAGTGCTCCCAGAGCATGTGATTAAAATAGTTTTTATAAGAGTCTTTCCACTCAAAAAATGAGTTTGGCAAAATGGAAGAGCTTAGAAATGACGTAGTATATTTAACATTACTAAGGTATCTCAGGAAACCAAGAGGTATGAAAATATAATTCAGTAATTGAACAATAAGAGGTAAACTGAGGTACTTGATGTCGTGTCCTTGATACGTAAGAACTCAACTTTATTAGAGTATATAAACCAGCCCGTGTGGCTGGCGGAGATTACATAGTGGAGGTCTCTCCGACGCTCAATGGGGACGCGCACGGTCTCACTGGGGCTTAGGGTCCGCAGGCGCGCGAGGCACGTGCAAACGAAACTTGACACGCGCCGGTTCAGTGCTCTCCGGACGTGTGGTCCATCTGGCGCAGCTTGGGGGAACCCCAAAATACGCGACCCCTCGGTGAGGACCGGGGCAGGAGAACTTAAATACACAACACCCCTCCCCCTAAACGAATTCGTTCAAAGGGGCGGGATGGCGCGTTGTCCGACTTGATCGGCGAAGTGCGGTTGGTGCATTGTTGTTGCTCAGATGAATCTGTCGGTCATGTAGCAGCGTGCGAGGGCGACCTAGGAGCAGCGGCCGGAGTCACTCTGGCCTTGGCAGGCGTTTCCTCAGTTTCAGTCCCAGATGTTTTTGGCCTGTTGTGCTTTGCAGCCGACCCGGTGCCGTCACGAGTCGCTTGTGGATCAATGTCTGTGCCACCAGAATCCGGAGCGCGATCACGTGTATCAGGAATGTCCGGCATGTCTGACGTTCGTTGGCGAATCTGGTCAATGTGCCGTTTCCAAAATGTGCCGTCTTGCAGCTTCACCTAATATGAGACCGGTTCACTGCGAGAGTAGACGATGACGGGAATCCAGTACGGACGTCCCAACGCAAAGCTGCGAGCAAACACGCTGCCGCTGGGGCAGAATTTTCTCGATATTCTGCTGCTCTGCGCGTGCTTTTCCTGGCGCTGCTCGACGTAGCACTGATGGTCTAAGTGGACGCTGTCCAAAGCTGACCTGAGTTGGCGCGACATCATGAACTCTGCCGGGCTTCTTCCTGTCGATGTGCTTGGCAGGATATGCTGCTCAAACCGGAAACGTGTGAGGCACACATCGATGTCAGCGCCTCTGAAGCGTCTCACCGCTTTCTTGGTGTCTTGTACGAACGTTTCCGCTTGACCCTCTGATGATGGATGGTAGGGAGATATCAATGCTTGTCGGATGTTGCTGCGGGCGAGGAACGTGCAGAACTCCTCTGACGCAAAGGCAGGGCCGTTGTCCGAGACAACCACATCGGGCAGTCTGTGGGTTGCAAACATCCTTCTTAGTTCGTGGATGACAGTCGTTGCTGACGTGGACTTCGTAGTTCGTACTTCTAACCACTTAGAATACGAGTCCACGACCAAAAGGAAGGTCTTTCCTTAGAAGGGGCCTGCAAAGTCCACGTGCAGTCTGGACCATGGCCTGGAGCTGCATTCCCATAGATGCACTGGAGATTGTGGAGGCGAGTCCCTTGTGACTTGGCAATCGGCGCAGGTGCAGACCTGCTCTTCAATTCCCTTGTCCAGACCTGGCCACTAGACATCGCCTCTGGCGAGCCCCTTCATGCGCACCATGCCGGGATGTGCAGAGTGGAGAATCAGATCTCAGGGCAGAGGCTAGGTGGCACAACTACGTGGCTGCCCCAAAGATTGCAGTCGCGGTATGCGGAGAGTTCGTTGCAGAGTACATAGTATGGTTGGGACTCTTCTGATGGCTTCTCATCAGGCCATCCATGCTTGATCCATTGGAGGACGCGGGACAGCTTCGGATCCTGTTTCGTTAGTCAAGCAATTCGCTCTTTATCGACTGGCATTACCGGAGCAGCCTCGAGTAGGAGAACGTTCTCCAAGGGTGGGAGCTGGAGGTCCTTTGTCGGCAGAGGCAACCGACTGGAGGCGTCGGCATTGCCCATCTGTCTACCTGGACGGTAGACCAGCTCGTAGTCGTATTATCCCAGGATCAGACCCCATCAGAGCAGGCGTGGCGATAGAACCACTGGGATGGGTTTGCTGTGGTGCAGGAGCCCAAGCAAGGGTTTGTGATCTGCGTAGATCTTGAAGTGTCTCCCATACAGGTACTGGTGAAATCTCTTGACTCCCGACACTACGGCCAACGCCTCTTTGTCTGTTTGACAGTTCAGCTCGGTCAAAGTCATCGGCCTGGATCTGTAGGCGACTGGAGCTTCCAGGCCAGGCTGATCTTCATGACTCAGCACAAAACCGAGCCCGTATGGCGATGCGTCGCATATGAGAATGAGGGGCTTGTGGACGTCGTAGTGTCTCAACACCGCTGACGATTTCAGAAGCTTTTTTGCGTTTTTAAATGCCTCGTCTTCATCAGGTCCCCATCTCCATGGCGAGTCTTTGCCGAAAAGACGATGCAGGGGTTTGAGTGTGTGCACTGCGCCGCGTCAGGAAACGGTTGTGAAAGTTCAACAACCTGAGGAAGGACTGAAGCTGCTGCTTGTCCTCGAGTGCTGGAGCTTCCTTCAGAGCCTTGTCCTCTTCTTCAGTCGGGTAAATGCCTTGGCTGTCGACGCGATAGCCCAAAAAGACGACTGAAAGACCATTTGGAGTCAAATGGTCTCTCAGAAGCCTTGCCCGGTTTCTTCACTTCTTTTGCTGCTTTTTTTTACGGCAGGTCTTCTGCATGTGTCCTTTGTTGCTGCAGAAGTGACATACAACACTGGTGTAGGAACAGCTTCTGGCGTCGTGTGAGCCCGTGCATCTCCAGCACTGGACATGAGAAGATCGACCGTTGGTGGAAGCACTACTACTGAGGGGCTTCCGCAGCGCCTGTGCCACTTGGTTTTGCTCTTGGCAAGCCTCTGACCTGGTGCGACGAAGTTCTTCAGTCTTGACGGCTGCTTCCTCAGCAGCCCGAGCCATCTCGACGGCCTTGGTCAGTGTGAGCTCCAGTTCCGCCAAAAGTCCGTGCTGAAGGTCTTGCCGCGCAAGCCGCATACCAGTCGGTCGCACAGCAGACGATCATGCCAGTCCTCAAACTCGCAGTGGCGAGCGAGATGCCGAAGTGCTGCGAGATAGGCCGGCACTGCCTCCCCTTGGAGCTGATCGTGTTTGTTGAATCAAAAGTGTTCCAAGGTGACAGAGGGCTTGCTGACGAAGTGGGTATCCAGTTTAGCCGCGATGTCAGCGTATGGTGTCTGCATCGGCGTCTTGGGGGCACACACGAAGCGAAGAAGTGTGTAGGTGTCCACTCCGCAGGCACTGCAGAGGATGGGTATCTGCTTGTCATCGGTTACGATGTTCTGAGCTTCAAAGTAAAATTCAAGTTGTTCCTGGTACACGGGCCAAGCGGCTGGCTGATCCGGCGAAAATTCAGCCAGGGCGAGGTATGAAGCCGAAGGAGCCATCCCAACAGTCGGGGTATCTTCGTCCAAGGAAGACATGTCGGGTCCAAGGTGCAGCGCAGGGCCTCACGCACAAAACAGGACGGGCGAGTCCGGGGATCACTTGCCTCGTTGCGAGTTGTTGCGTCCTTGATACGTAAGAACTCAACTTTATTAGAGTATATAAACCAGCCCGTGTGGCTAGCGGAGATTACGTGGTTGAGGTCGCTCCAACGCTCGGCGGGGACGCGCGCGGTTTCGCTGGGGCGTAGGGTTCACAGGCACGCGAGGCACGCGCAAACGAAACTTGACACGCGTTCGGTTCGGTGCTTTGGTGCTCTCCGGACGCGTGGTCCCATCTTGTGCAGCTCGGGGGAACCCCAATATATGGAACTCCTCGGTGAAGACCGGGGCGGGAGAACTTGAATACACAACGCTTGGCAGGAGGATTATCTACATGTACTAGTGTTTGGCCTGCAATCAAGGCTGAAAGAGCGATCTGAGAGATAATCGAATTCCAGCAGACAATTTACACTGTCATTTATAGGAGTACTCAAGAGTCTCAAATTCAATGTTTTTCATGGTTTGCTTCATAATATATTTAGTAATATTTGGAATCTGACAGCACTTCATGTTGCCCAAAGATATTTCAGAAGTAACTTACTGGGACATTTCTTGCAGCAGGAAAGGGCGTTTTCCCGGTAGGCATCTTTTTCTGAGCAGCTGAGTGGAGGGCAGGTAATCCTGCGGCACTCGACTGTCAGGGTGATGGGCTGCAAGAGAGATGATGAAGCAAACATGCTTGAAAAGTATTTCATACGGATATACCTCACTTCAGCTAAGCTGTATAATGTGACTTTCATTTTATTTTCATTTATTGATACTGTCAGCCCTTTTAATGGCTACGAGAGGGTAGACAAAAATACATAAAGAGAAAACATACAAGTCACTGGTACAAAAATGTTTATTGAACAACAAGTTTCTAATTGAATACAAAACTTAAAATCAACTGTACTAGGGGTGGAAACTTGATAGATTAACCAACCGATTAATCAATTATTGCTTTAATTACGATTAATTTTTAACCAGCAATTCAGTTAAATAAAAAAGAACAAAAATGCCATGCTTCCACCACTCTGATATGGACGAGTTCCTACACCTGTATGAAGGTAAACTTTATGTGCAATTTTGACATAAAGTAAACTGTAGGGCGAGATTTGTAACTTCAAACACCTGAAGAAGGTTATACATGTCCCAGCCACTTCAATGCCTTGCGAGTGTCCCTCTAACGCAGCAGAGAATACTGTGAACAATCAAAAGAGTTCATTACTGCCGGAGAACATCAGAGAACCTCTTTGTCTCTGCGGCTGAAGTAATAATTTGTGAGTGTGGGTGGCTTTTGACTGTTCTCAACTACACATCAAGGGATTTAAAATAAAAAATATTGTGAGCCAAGGCAAATTTGCCATTTACAGCTTTTTAAAGCTATTATGCAAGGGAATTAACGAAACTGATTAATTTATTAATAATCGATTAAAGGGTGGCAACTAATCGGCTAAATATTTTTAATCAAAACCCAGCCCTAATAAACACACATCTAGAAAATATTTCTAATACAAGAAACTTTTAGTACATAATGACAAAATGTATGATACAGTAGCATTTAAGTGGTGGCAAAAACAGTATATTCAATGCTCTCAACAATGAACTAAGTAACATTGATAACACAATGGGGTCATGCAGCATGATCTATTTGATGATGGATCTAAAAAACAACTGAATTTAAAACAGTGTTTTTGCACGGATGGATCTGGTGAGCATTCATTTGGACGAATCTAAAAATAATCAGACTTGTTAATCTTTAGATAATTATGAATAATTAAGGAAATTTAGTTCTTTTATACTTAGTCCTCAACTCCAACGTTGGATTGTTTGCGAGTTTGCATAGTTCTATATGGGAATAACCGCGGTAATAGTTGTTAAGAATATATCTGGATGAGAATTTCTGAATTTTTTCAAGTTTAGAACAATTTGTAGTGGTATGTGGATCCCATACAATTTTTGCGTACTCATGTAATAGGTCTAACAGGGTCTTGTAAGCTAGATATTTTATTTCAGGAGTTGCACTACCCAAATTTTGTGACCAAATATTGCTTCATAGACTAAAACAGCACTTATATTCATGTTTAGTTTACCCTTACAATATGTAGATTTAAAAATACAAATACAAACTATAAAATCATGTATGTGCCTGTACTGGTTAACATAAATTGTATCATGATTGTCTCTAAATCTTTAAACAGTTTAATTATTAAACAGATAATTATTTATACATTTACACGAGCTTTAAAATGCTTTCTGAATGCATGATCAGCAGAATCATGTTCAGCAATGCTAACAATATTTACCCTTCTTTCTTTTTCATGGGACAACATGAGAGGGAAGAAGCCCCTTCTGTACGAACTTCAGGGGACGAGATTCACAATAGGCACAAAAGTGGCGCTCAGCAAGGAACTCTGTGGAAGGACCTCGAATTTCGCTTACTTGGTCGTGGCTATAAAAAAAAAGTTCACATTTCTAATTTTTTTACCCACAGAATGGCCTTTAAAGGGATGGTGAATCGAAATTTGGATTTCAGAAAAAACAATGCAGGAGATGTAGGCGGGACGCTACAATCCCTACAACACTACTCGTAATGCGATATCTCCAATGGATGGCCGTATTTTGGGAAAAAGAGGTCGAGATTGAACCAAGCCGACGAGGCGCGTGGCCGTGAAGATACCTGGTTTCCTCCTCTCTTCGCTTCGCTCCCTCAAGGCGGCGAGGCGGAGAAGACGCGAGGCCGTTCCCTCTCCTTCTTGGAGAAACATGACGTGAACATTTCTCCCAAATGTGCCTCCTTTTCTTGAAACATACCGTCATCCGTTCAAGATATCGCTGTATGAGTGATGTTTCGGTGTTTGTAGCATCCCGTTGCACGCTTCTGTCGCGTGTTTTGTGGAATCCAGATTTCGGTTCAGCATCCCTTTAAGATGGCAATGCTTCAAAACCAAAGCACCATAAGTGCTTCAGGTTTCTGCGCTAAATATTTTCTCTGTAGAATATTCAAATTCAGAATGGCCTGAAGGATTCAACTGTTGAGCGCATACTGTTAAGATCTTCTGCAAGTGCTTACTTGGCAAGTGCAAACAGCGCAGCGACTGAAGCCAAAAGGTGGGATGTAAGGGTGCCACTTGGATCCCGCCATATGAAACTTCTTGTCTCCTTCAAGGAAACAGCCGTGTGGCGAGCGGGCTTCACCACTAGGGGCATAGGATGCATTCAGGCCTCCAGTCTCATCTGCAAGCCATGAATCACGTGAGGACAGCAAACCAGAATCTTAATATAAAATGATACCAACATGACACTGTGATGATGCTACACCATTATGTTAGACAGGTTTCTTTAAGAATTAACATACTACATGTCACGTGTAGGCCTCAGAGGTTCCACAAAAAAAAAGCCAGCTTATGGGGTTTGCAGCAACAGTGCCTTAACAAGTGTCTTTCATCCATCAAGTGAAAGGTTTGTAGAATCCTAACAGCACTAAGGAAGCAAATTTTCTTTATCACCTGATCTTGTGAATACAAGTGAAAATGCTATTTCCATTCAGTTATAAAGACTGTTGTTGATGAATGAACCTCATAAATATCTGATGTTGACTTTGACTTTGTAGGACACTTTGACATCGCCAGATGGATGGGACTTTTGATTAGGGTGACCATAATCCTCAGAGGAGGGGATTATAGTCATCGAGGAAGAAAGAAAAGCTCTGCTACAATTCAGTTGAACAAGAAAGCATGCATTTTTCCGAGTTCTTTAAGAACACAAGTCTCTTTCTCCTTTATTTTTATACAGTGAGGATGTTATGACCTGGATGAGCATTGTACCGGTGTGCAATCACGTATCACTACTGCTTGGTGCACATTAAAGGACCCAGGCTAGCAGTGGTACTGGACTGGCTAAATTTCTCATCTACAGCACAAACCAGTGTCGCCGCACCTCAAAAGCAGACTGATCCGTACGCTGTCTGAACACAAATGTTAAATTTGGAAGAAATGTTGACAAACAAAGGTTGCCAAATTAAGTAATATAACAAAAAAAGTCTCCCATACACAAGTCTAAGCAAACAAAAGGTACTGGCAGATAAAATCACAAAAGGAGCTAAAGACAAAAAGAGCTAAAGACAAGAAGAGCTAAAGACAAAAAGAGCTAAAGACGTTACCTCTGTGGGAGGTAACGTCTTCATAGCATGTTTATTTTTACAAATATTATGAATGCAAAGAGTACACAAAGTTAGTTTTCTTCCACTTACTTGTATTGATTTTGCCACTACATGCACGTTTCCACGAAAACGAGACATAAGGCTTTACTGAGACAAAATAACGATACGAAAGAAATGAAGCTCCGACATGGGATGGTTTCCGGCCAAAATGGGGCGTCTGGTCAGCCTACGTTTGCATGGTGGCCATCATATTCTAAAGCTCACATGTTTACCGGGTTAGACATAACTCACCTTGGCATGTGGGGCAACATTCCCCTGGGAGGGTGACTGGGTTGGCGCACTGGACCACCGGACAGACAACGGGGTCACAGACCAGGCGGCCCCTCTGCACAAGAGCGCGCACTGAGCACCTCATTGCTCAGAGCAACAATATATTATGCTAAAAAAAATGAAAGCCGCTTACAACTCCCTGTAACGCCGAATTAGAGCGCAGCTCTTGAGGAGGAGGAGGGAAGGGCACTGGGGGGGGGTTAAACTAACCAGGGGGGGTCACGTTACCTTGGGGGTCACGTGACCCCCAATGCCGATGATGTCATCACTGACGTCACTGATGACGTCATCAGTGACGATGACGATGCGGGTACCGATGACGTCATTAGTGACGTCACTGATGACTTCACCAGTGATGATGACGATGACGATGCGAATGTCGGTGACGTCATCAGTGACGTCGCTGATGACGTCATCAGTGATGATGACGATGACGATGCGGATGCCGGTGACGACATCAGTGACGTCACTGATGACGTCATCAGTGATGATGACGATGACAATGCGGATGTCGGTGACGTCATCAGTGATGATGACGATGACGATGTGGATGCCGGTGACGTCATCAGTGATGATGACGATGACGATGTGGATGCCGGTGACGTCATCAGTGATGATGACGATGACGATGTGGATGCCGGTGACGTCATCAGTGATGATGACGATGACGATGCGGATGCCGGTGACGTCATCAGTGATGATGACGATGACGATGTGGATGCCGGTGACGTCATCAGTGATGATGACGATGACGATGTGGATGCCGGTGACGTCATCAGTGATGATGACGATGACGATGCGGATGCCGGTGACGTCATCAGTGATGACGATGACGATGTGGATGCCGGTGACGTCATCAGTGATGATGACGATGACGATGTGGATGCCGGTGACGTCATCAGTGATGATGACGATGACGATGTGGATGCCGGTGACGTCATCGGGGGGTCACGCGACATCGGCGGGGGTCACGTGACCTCGAGGAGGGGGCCACGTGACCTCAGGGGAGTCACGTGACTTCGGGAGGTCACGTGACCCCCACGAGGTCACGTGACCTTGGTGGGGGGCTCGCGCGGTGCATTATGGGACATTTCCCATGATGCACCGCGCGGTTACGCCGACGCCGACGCCGACGCCGCTCAAGCCGGAAACGGGCCCCTAAGAGCTGCGCTCTAAAATGATATGCAATGGGTGACCTTCAAGCAGAGCTATGGCAATTAAAAAGTAGCAGACTGTTGTGGGAAAGATGTGATGTAAATAAAATATTGGTCACATCTTTCTTCTGATTTAAGAGCATTTGAACTGATTTATTTATGTTTTATAAATTTATGCTCTGTATTGACCCACAAATCTAAAGTTTCTGAAATACTTTTTAAAAAATGTGTGCTCACTAGCCTGTGGGGCCTTCTACAAAAACTTAAAAATAGGCCATCAAGTTAAATGTGCTGGGGACATTCCGTACCAAACCATCATATAGTAGAACCAATAAATGAGGGAGAATAGAGAAATATCCAAGAACAGCTACTGGTAAAAACAATACAACAAAACACGAAAATGTAGGTGTAATTTTAAGAGACACATTTTTTTTTATTCACAACATTAGAGTGCAGCAGCTGGCGTTTAAAGAACCCTCTGACAGAAGAGGCGCAATTTACAAGATATCAAAATAGCGCATTCAATCGCTTCTTGTAAGTATACTTCGAATCCACAGCACAACTGCTTATTTAAAAGAATGTGTTTGAAAAAAAAACAATTTGCAATACATTGTGTGATTAGAGGTTATATATACCTGGCAAGAGCACATGACACACTCCTCGTGACGAGCAGTCCACTGAGCACCGTCGTCAAAGACCTCCCCATCGTAGTAGCACTTGTGGTTCGACTCAATACGGTAGATCTCGTTGTTCTCGCCACCCGAGAAGTCACTTGCAAAGCCACGCACGGTGCCCACACTCTTCTCCAGGTCTGGGAGGCAATTATCGGGAATCTGGATCTGGAAAGAGGGAAATGTGAATGTGTCGATCATCCAGTGGTACGTTATGGTAGAACGCAAAATAACAACACTAAGCGCTGTTCCAGAAACAATCTGGAGAATTATCTTGAAATGATAATAATGGCATTGTTTCTGCTTGTGCTGCACAGGGATACTGAAGCTGTGCTTCTTACTGATTTCTACAATATTTTTGATGTAAGCGCTATCCCAAAAAAGCTCAACGAAGATGCATACTAAAACACTAAAAACCCGCAGTTCATGAACCTTTCAGGTACCTTAAAAGCCCGCACATATTATTCATTCACGAAAAAACAAAACGCCATTACAGTGGTTGTTGGTACTCATCCAAATGAAGCGAAAGTTCCCTCCGTGACAAATAATCTTGCAATGTTGAGGTTGACTCTTCACCCGGAGGAGAACGGTCAAAGAGGATTGTGAGCACAGTGTCTTTCACTTAATACGCGTCTTGACCAAGTAGTAAGTGAAAGTACACTGCATGGCACAGTAAGCACGAACAAAACGATGGCACTTTTTTATTTTTTTATTTAGAAGCGGTAAAAACCAGTACCATATTTTACCTTGTAGGCCAGGGCCCCTGAATAAGCACTTTCGACCGCGCTAGTCATTTCAAGGACATCCCGCGATTTAAGAAAAAAAGATATGATTAACAGTTATTTTTTAGCTTGTGTCGTGTCGCGCTCATCAAACAGCGCGACACTGTTCGCGCAAACTAGAAAATGACGGTTTCTTTTTTTTTTTTTTGCATTATTAATGTCATCAAAACTACTAGTGTGGAAAGAAGGCTCAATTGAGGCCCTAACAGAAGCAAAAAAAATTTAGAGCCCGTAAATAGCTTTCCGATTTAAAGTGCAAAACAATCACCAATGTCAATGTTCGCGCCCACATGGTCGCGCAGCGTAACGTGCATCGTGGTCTCGACCTATTCTCCCCTAGGATGAGAGGCGTACTAGGACACCACAGGCCCTTCTTTGAAACTGCCAATGAAGTTATTATTGCGAAAGTCTTAACTCTCCCATGGAGTGGAGCCGGTGGCGCCCGCAAAAAAGAAAAGCGAAAGAAATGCCCATTTTCCCATTGGCTGAGCAAAACGGCTCCTAGATAGCCATTGGCAGCCGCTCCACGAGAGCGCGCGCTCGGCCACCGCTCTTGTGTCAGGGGTTGCCGGAGGGGAGGGAGGGGGGGGGGCTGCGGCCGCTTCACGAGAGCGCGCGCTCGGCCACCGCTCTTGTGTCAGGCGTTGCCGGAGGGGAGGGAGGGGGGGGGGGGCTGCGGCCGCTCCACGAGAGCGCGCGCTCGGCCACCGCTCTTGTGTCAGGCGTTGCCGGAGGGGAGGGAGGGGGGGGGCTGCGGCCGCTTCACGAGAGCGCGCGCTCGGCCACCGCTCTTGTGTCGGGGGTTGCCGGAGGGGAGGGAGGGGGGGGGGCTGCGGCCGCTTCACGAGAGCGCGCGCTCGGCCACCGCTCTTGTGTCAGGCGTTGTCGGAGGGGAGGGAGGGGGGGGCTGCGGCCGCTCCACGAGAGCGCGCGCTCGGCCACCGCTCTTGTGTCAGGCGTTGCCGGAGGGGAGGGAGGGGGGGGCTGCGGCCGCTTCACGAGAGCGCGCGCTCGGCCACCGCTCTTGTGTCAGGCGTTGCCGGAGGGGAGGGAGGGGGGGGGGGCTGCGGCCGCTCCACGAGAGCGCGCGCTCGGCCACCGCTCTTGTGTCAGGCGTTGCCGGAGGTGAGGGAGGGGGGGGGGGCTGCGGCCGCTTCACGAGAGCGCGCGCTCGGCCACCGCTCTTGTGTCAGGCGTTGCCGGAGGGGAGGGAGGGGGAGGCTGCGGCCGCTTCACGAGAGCGCGCGCTCGGCAACCTCGGCAGTAGCGAAACGTGGCCGTTTACGCCAGTACACTGCAGACGAACTAAAGGAGTGGAAGAACGACATTCATGCTTTCGCATTCACAACTCATAACAAGTGCTTAGGTGTCCTCGGAATTTTTTAGAGCGCAGCTCTTAGGCGCCCGTTTCCGGGTTTCGCGGCGTCGGCGTCGCTGTCGGCGTAACTGCACCGCTAAATTTAGCGGGAAATTAAATGGGTGTTGAGGTAGCGTGACGTCAATTTTCCCGCTAAATTTAGCGGGGAAAATGACGTCAGATGACTTTGGGTCACGTCACCCATGAACAAATTCAGTTTCTCCGCTATATTGAGCGGGAAAATTGACGCACCGTGATCTCAACACCAGTTCAGTTTCTCCGCTAAGTTTAGAGAGGAAAACGACGTCACGCGACTTCGTGTCACGTCACCCACGAACAAATTCAGTTTCTCCGCTAGATTTAGTGAAAAGACTGACGTCACGTGACCTGAACACTAATTGAATTGTACGGAGGAGGAGGATGAGGGGCATAGCCTCCCCTCCATACCCTCCCCCCCTCCTCCTCAAGAGCTGTGCTCTAATTTCGCGTAACAGAGATTTGTAAACATATTTCATTTTTTATTAGACTGCCTCTATAGAAATTTCACCAACTCATAACAAGCATAGGCGGTTTAAGCGAGCAGACGGGACAAAAAAGTAGCGGGAAGACGTGGCCTGCGTCTACGAAGACGTGTCCCAAGCGCGGTCTACGTCCTGATTCTGTTCTGCAAATCCGCTTCCCCTCATAGAGACGTCACTTGAGGGGAAGCTCACTGTCCGTAAGTGCGGGTTCAAACGGCGTCGTAGCCTCGAAGTACTCGTTTGAAATCCTTAATCAACCACGATACAATTTAGATTTTACATGCCTGTTGCAATATTGATAGTTTCACAACTTTTTTTTTTTGTTTTAAGGAAGCTCATTTTCGTTTTACAATCTACCTTCAGCCTAAAATCAATATCACTTGCGAACGGCAAGCTCTTGAGAGAGAAAGAGACAGAGAGAGCAGGTTCATATGCAACACCTAAAGGCCGACTCACAAACTTGCGACTGCTTACGACCGAAGAGGCCAAACACGGGTTTGTAAACCTCTTGTCATTCATTGCCAACGACTGTCTGCGCGGAAGTCATGAGGGGTAGCAAGAAGTTTAAAACCGGTTTTTCGCTTCTCCGGTAATAAGCAATCGCGTCGCAAGTGTGTGAAACAGCCTAAAGTCTATTACTCGATACCTGTAACAGCAACTGAGCTCCTAGTTTTCTGCTCAAACTCAAACGTAGCTAAACATACCCAGGTTAGCGAATCTACCGCTAGTGTCTGAAGAAGGGTGACAGGCTAAGCATCCGGTTACGAGCCGACGGCTCGAAACTCACGTCTCGAATATGGCCCCTGAGCTCGACTTGCTTGGACTTGCCAGACTTGGAGGTGACCAGGAGGTAAGAAGAGCCGCCACTCAGTCTGTACAGCGTCGCAGGACTGGGCTCCTCCAGGGTATCTTCCAGCTGCGAGTGCCGCGGTGTGTCGTAGCAATTCCCGTAATTTAACATTCCCCATTCAATATACGGGAACACTATCTATAACTCAAGGCAATACGGCTATACCGCGCAGTATATATTCTTGGAGTCCTTACCCCAAACGAATAGTTAGTAAGCAAAAGTAATTGTGTTGTATGTTTAGACAAGAGAAAGTTAGTGCGCCCCTAAGCGGCGTCTGGGGTCTTCGCTGTAAATGAGAAATTTGGCTAGTGCATTGCCACCGCTAACCCGGGGTCTTTAACGTGCCTCACGCAGTTATAATACAGGACCGCACGCCAGCATACGATGCTCATCCAGATCAAAATCGGCAGGGGTGGGGATTAAACCCAGGATCCCTAGGATTCTGCAGCACAAGTTTTTGCTCCACGTGCTTCGAGCTGCAGACGGCCTGCGGTGGGTTAACACATTTAAAGAAAACAACGACGAACAAACACGCGGACGAGGAAGATGCAGACAGGGTAAACTGTCATGTTTCAATCTTCCTTTCTCCATGTGCTTATTCAGTGCTGCATTCTTTAAATATGAACCAACTGGCCCAAACCACCACTATGCTGCGTAAACACACTCGGTTACCGAATTCCCCCCCCCCCCCTCCTCAATTTGGCAAGCAGGTACATCACATATACTGTTGTTACTGATTCTTTGAGCATCGACAGGGCTTTGAAAGCCTCGAATTAGCCCGTGAAGAAACTATAAGACAAATACTGTGCAGAGGGCGTGTGTGAGCAGTGAGAAGAGATCCGTAAAAATTGATAAGCACACTTTTGAGAAGAAACGTTTGAATTGCCTCCAGCGTTGCGTTGACCAACAAATTATAACTGAGCGTTACCAGCGCTTGACAAGGGTTTAACGTTGGGTTCATGTGCACCATCCTCGTAAGAAAACGGCTCGCATCCCACCTCGTCTCCGCTGATCTTCTGGAGGACCCTCTGGACGCTGCGGGCGCTGGGCATGACGTGCATGACCGGTGAGATCTCGAGCAGCTCGAGCAGGTGCCTGTCAGTGGGCTCGAGGCCGGACACGAACACGGAGTAATGCAGGCGGCACGACTTGTCCACCGAGATCCAGGCCTGCCCGGCCGCCGAGCTGTTGCCCTCGGACATCAGCAGCACGGGCGTTTCTGCTTGGGAGGCCACAAGAAGTTCGCGAGCGGAGACGTCGTCAGCTGCTAATCTAGCAGCTCAATTTACGCCAACAGTGCACAGGTACAAGGAGCGTTATATTATGCACGGAAGCTGACAGGCACCTGATTTGCATCGAATTGGTTCAACAAGTTATTAGACACATTAGAACTAATCATCCAAAGTATTAGTCACATTTTTTTTCGAAGCTATTGAGTTTTTAAGGTACGTCTGAGAGGCTGAGGGGGTCTACTGGCAACACCGAGTGCGTGACGTCAAATGTTGTAATTGGATCACAAGAAGTTTGATCGCGTAAAATGAATCACGGAGAAGCCTCAAGCCAGCAAAATGATAAAAATACGCGCAAAATACTGTATTTTTAGACTGCCTGCTCGACTTTCAAGTAATAAAACCTGTGGCGTCACTACACGCGATAGCGCGGGGAAAATTCGAATGTTCGTTTTGGCATAATGTTTATTTGATGTTTTCTCAATATCTATTTTAAATTTAGAGATAATAAATAGCATGCCGGAAAATGTAAAGCTTAGGTATTACAAAGATAAACTTAGTTTCGATAGCTAGAGAGAGAAAAAGAAAAAGAACGTTTGGAGCTCCTATTTTAAGAAATACTTAACTATCACCCATCCCCCCCCCCCCTACCTCCCAAATCGTTTTTTTTTTTTTTTTTTGCGGATAAGTGTTTGGATATAACACGTATGTATGTGTACTATTCGAGCATGGGGCATGTAGGTATACCCCGAGGCATTAAGTAATCATTGTAATATCGCAATCAGTACGAAATCGGCCATGAATTTTATTATCTCCGACAGCAATGAGTGGTCTCCGCTCGGTATCCTTGGAAGTTCAAGATTTCGCGACTCCTGGCACTCGCCTCGCGACTCGGCGCACGCGTCCGATACGGCGATGTTTCCTTGCCTGATTGTTAACCCAAACGGGCTTTCGATTTACTACTTCAAGTTAGCTATACGGAAATGCGCGAATCTGGCACGAGGTGATGATTTCCAGCCACCCTCTCTCATCCCTTAATTAATCCTAAAAGATCTTGATCAATTTATTTTACTCACATTGATTATCTTTAATTGTCATTAATATTAGAAAGCATCTACAGCCACTGCGACCTACTGCCAGGCTCGAGGCACCAGGCAAAGGTACTAGAATCACGATATCTAATATAAGAAACAATAATGTTAATTGGCATTTTTTTTGTTTTTAAAATCACTGTGGCAACGGCAGAGCTACCGGCGCCTAATGGTCATTTTATGCCTTTGTTCGCTCTGCTAATTCGAGCATGTGAATAATAATAATAATAATAATAATAATAATAATAATCCCTATTTCTTTTGCTTCTTTCACCAACAGTGATCATCTTTAATTATCATTAATATTAGAAAACGTCGACAGCGCTGCGATCTACTGCAAGAGTACAGACACTTGGCATAGGTACTCACGCGCAATATCGGAAGTAATAATGATAATTTCCATTTTAGGTATTTAAAATCACCGTGACAGCGGCATAGCTATATATAGGCGCCTAATAGCTGTTTTTGGCGTTCGATCGCTCTATTTTTTTCGATTACGTTAATAATAATAATAATCCTTTCTTTCGCTCCGCACATAAAAGGGGACATAAGGCAAGAACCTGTGAAGCTCGACGAGGCCCAAGCCCCTAATCCTGGTTTAAGGTTGGGACGTCGGGTGGTGATGCGATATATAGACACGCATTATTCAACTCACAAAGCGAAGCAGTTCGGGTACAGCAAAATTAGCCGTCGTGAAGTGTCGTTGGGAGTCAGGAGGAGCGAAGAGTACCCGAATCCCGTCCGATCGACAATCGTCAGCACTGATAAAACCACTGACGTCTTTATTGCGACCCACACGATGCTTTCTGTCCAATTGCTGCGAGAGGCGGCAAGGGGACAAGAGTGTCGCAACTCTAGCATATATATATATAGCGACTTTACAGCGACCTATAGGATTCCACGGCTACGTGCACGCGGGACCAGATATTTCGATCGGAGGCCAAAGCAATCGCGCCTCCTTTGAGTCTAGGAACAGCAGTTCGTGGATTTGCAACACACAAAAGCGCAGTGCAGTCTTTGGAGAAGAAAGCATTTGCTCAGGGCGTAAGCCTAACTTCCCTAGAGTGCCGATCGATGCGGGCTTAATCGCTTGCACCCAGAGTTGCTTACACTGCAGTGCCAAACTCTGCAGTGCCAGAGTTTGGCACTGCAGGCAAGGTGTGCGCATCATATCATTGTCGGTGGATCCCTGACGCGCCCCAAGCGCCAAACACGCCGAAGCTCGCCCGAGGTTGCGGCGCAGAGGGGCAGACGCGTGCACCCCGCAGCGCCGAAGCGCGCTAGCATCGCGCCCGTTGCGAGAAGCTAGGAGACGCGCGCGCGGCGGCGAGAACGCGATTTAGGCGGCGCCACGTGTATCCATCGTAGGGACTGGCAGGATCAGAATGGAAACTAGCAGTTAAACCTTTTCCCTAGCATGGACGACCTGGCTTCGTCCACACTGTTTGTACCGCTCCTCCCGAAGAAGAGCTGAGCTCGTCCACGCTGATCCAGGCTCTAATACGCTACCATGGACGAACTGGGCTAGTCCGAGATACAATAGTAAGGGTGCAGGCGAGCTGGTGGATGTTAAGCATGTTGAATATACCTGAGACTGGGGTAGAAAAGAACACAAAAATCGAAGAAACAGAACGGGACAGGACGACGTCTCAAACTCAGCTGAGTTTGAGACGTCGTCCTGTCCCGTTCTGTTTCTTCGACTTTTATGTTATTTTCTACCCCAGTCTCAGGAATATTCAACATGGGCTAGTCCACGTGTTTTAGTGAGCTTTGCCGTGGATAGATGGCGCTTCACGGAAAATAAAAACCTGGCAAATTTTTCCATTTAGCAGAAAATTGTTCAAACGCAGACAACAGGGGATTTAAAAATGGCGGCGTCAACTTCTGGTCGCTGCATTCGTAGTAACGATCTTGCCTCAAAAATTGAGGCAAAAACAAAGATATTGTGACGTCTCTTCAGATTCAGAAGACGAGGAAATTAATCTTTCATCGAAGGGCGAGAGCGATGCAGCTGAGTTATTGGATTTTAGCTCAGACGACTCCGATTTCGATGAGGACATCGTGTCGGTGTGTCAGCATTGGACTAGACTCAATGTAGAAAATCCCCCTCGAGCCCCTCCACGTTTTGTATTCACTTTGCGTGCAAGGTGATGTGAACTGTCGGGAGTACTGCTACGCCCGGCCTGAACGTCCATGTGCAAGGTGAAGTGAACTGTCTGCGGTAATGCAGTGAAGCGGAACTTTAATCCCTTTTTCTTTTGCAGTCTGTTCAAAGATTTCTCATAAAATAAATATTTGGGCATTTGTTTGTGGCCTTCGTATTGCATACTAAATTTATAAGGCACATAAAAAAATTCGGTATTTTCAAATCAATTTTTTTTTTTTTTTTTTTTTTTTTTTAATTTTTGCGGTAGGTAAAGGGTTAAGTTGTCTCGCCTCGAGCGCGAGCGAATTCCATAACTTCGATAACAAACGCTTTGGCTTCTCCTTAAGGTCGAGCGTGCTCGCGCTGTCAAAGCGCCGCAAAAGGAAACAGGCGCGCGTTTTGGAGGCCAGGCATTCGAGAGAGGCGCCCTGGCGTCCTCTTTCTGGCAGTGACTAGAGGAATAGACCCTTTCCGGAATTCAGTGCCATCTGGTGACTCAAATGACAGTTTATCTTTTACTATACTAATGGCGGCAATGAACCTGTGGTCTGCAGTATTTAATGGGGCACCGTCACTTAAAGGTCAACAGTAAACGGGATTGTGCACTTCACTACAATTATTTTTCAGTCTCTTTTAGTGTCGATGGCGAAACAAATGCAGCCAATCGGAACGAAGCGCTAACCCACATAGACGTCTTGATAGAGTTCTATACATCAAGGGGCTTTGAAGCCGAGTGTGTGCTACTAACACATTGACTGGGACGGAGTTAGAAATGAACGCTTACGCAGCTCTTGCGTCCAAATCCTGCTTCACGCCGCGCTAACATCTAGAATGATATAGGCCTCGAATCATCTGCTTAGGAGCATCTTCAACTTCTTCCTTCATCAGTAAACAGAAGGCCGCCACTAGTATAGCACACATGCCGCTTTCAGATGATGATGATAGTGATCAAAGTGGCCAGACTGAATTCAGGAAAAGGTCTATAGCGTTATAAAAAAAGAAAAAGGCACATGCCTCGCTTTTTTAGGTAGTTCCACTTCACATTTAGTTTCTCTGGCCCATGAATCGCACGTTTTATCACTTCACTATATAATACTCGAGTGCCTGGCGTCTTATTCCGCCCACGGATCCAAAGTGGTCCCCAAATGACTGCAAATGACGTCACAAAAGCCAGAGTGTCCCGCTGTCGGATGTCGCGATCCTGGCGGCTGGTCGTAGAAATGCTGGCGAAAAAAGCACGAGCGAACGCGAGTGTCGCTGTCGTCGGGGCGTCCCAACTCCTGGCTGCCGAAGATTTCCATAGACTGTCAAGCTGGAGAATGACCCGCAGCGGAACAGGCGTCTGCCGCGTCCACCATCGCTGCTGTGACACCACCAGGATCGCGGCCAGCGACAGCGTGACACTGGCATGATGTCATCGAGCAAAAACCGAAAGAAAAAAATTTCTTTTACACGGTAAACGCACCAGTCGCACAAGCATTTCAGGAAGCGTACAATAAGAAGGCCGAAAAAAGAAATCACGACGCAAGAAACGTGAAAACGTTAATCCACGACCCGAGTTTCTATAACTCCTGGTGGCTATAGAGCTCCAGGTGTTACCATAGACCAGTGCCCTTCTGCCGGGCTTGCCAGGCAACAGGGCGTGCTCACCACTGAGGAAGGCGTCCGAGTAGAGCCGCTGCTTGACCCTGCCCCTGAGCTCGCTCTGTCCCTCCGAGAGCACCTTGAATGTCAGGTCGTCCGTCAGCAGCATCTCCAGCACCTGGCTCGTGCCCCGGCTGAACGTGCCGTTCGTCTGACAGAGGGGAGGGACAACGCACAAACGCGGTCGCTCGAATCGCTCTTGGATGAGGCGTTTCTAGAAGGCCAACTCGTGAAAGCTAAAGGCCGACGTGCAGCCTCGATGTTCAGTGAAGAAGGGAATCGTACAAACCTCTACTCCCAACCCGTAACAGCATTTTTTGAAGAAAAACTTGGCAAATTAATCCGATCATTTGATCCGAAATTTCAAGTTTAACATAAAAGCTGTACACATATCTGTACCACTGTTACTTAGAAGGGTAGATGACAAACATAACGTTTTCTCGATTCACGCTGTATGACGCGCGTGTGATGCTAGATAGAAAGTATTTGTGTTAATAAAAAGATTGTCGGCGAGAATAAAATATTCGCTGGAAGTTACTCCCTAAAGTTTCGTCATAAAATCCAATAACGCGCCATAATACCGTGAGGCTCTTATCGACAATCATGACAAAGCTGTTATTATTTTGAGGATTGTAATACAATGATTTACAGCCGAACAACACTTAGCTGAAGGAAAAAATCACAAAGTAACAAAAGATTAAAAAAAAAAAAAAATTCTTCATTACCTAGCCTCTTCGATGAAATTGTAACGACTAATTGAAATTCAGGGAAGAGAGACAGTCGTTATTCCGGTTTCTTTGTCGGGCGATGTCGTTCGATACGTTTGCGAAATGTCGCAACGCGTCAGCGCCATTTGACAAAATTAAACTCTGCAAAGATTAACGTGACTCGGACAAATAATCCTCCACTTTTAATGCCTCTGGAAAACCAAAAGAAGAAAAAAAAAAAAAACTACCAGACATATACAAGTTTTTTTTGCTTTTTTTATGCTTTTCAGGGGACACGAGAGCTCAGGCGGGAATTCTCTCTCGTGCCCAATAAAAATTCACAGAAAAATAAAACCAGATACGCTAAAAGCGAGAGTATACAGTGTGCCTCGTAAAAAAGGCGCGTGCCCAGCCTGCGCTCCAGGAACACGCAAATCCTCGCGGCTGTTGCATAGTCACGTCCGTCGAAGCAAAACGATAGCTTTCCCGGAACGAGAGCATATTTGCCTGGGCTTCCAACGCTAAAAGCCCCTTTCGTTTTTTTGTTTTTTTTTAACCTTTTTTTATGCTTTCTGTTTTGTCTTTCGAAAAGTGCTTGGGGGCGTGGAAGATAAAAGGGCCATCCCTTTACTTGCTCCATGAAGCGCCGAATATGCGAACGATCATACACGGCGCGGCGGGAAACAGACGGGAAACAACGCGACGTGATGGTCCAGACCCGTTTCGCCGAGGTAAGAAAAAATAAAGTAAAAGAAACGCGAGGCGGCCACGCTAGGGTACGCCCCATGACTAAAGTATGTGTAAATGTATAGTTCTTATTTTTTCCGAGTTTGCGTGGCTGAAGAATAAAAATAGAGGTACGGTATAAAAATATTACGATGTGGGCCGGCTCCCATTTCATATATTGTCATTTTCTTTTCTTTTTATACACACAGATGTATTCTTATAGCGGCCCATTTCTTCGGCCGCAACAGCCGAGTCCGACTGCCACTGAGTAAACACTGACGGCGACCTCCCGCAAAAAGCTTCCATAAAGTGCGTTTAACACCATCACTCTTAAAATGGCATGTTCACACGTACACAGCCGCGCTACAGCGGCGCTATTAGTAAGCGCTGGAATAGAGCTGACCTTGGTGATGCAGATCTGGCTTCGCGCTGTACCAGTGATACAGCGCGGATACAGTTACTCGGTCGGGCTCATGCAAGGGCGTGAATCGTCCTTTATGCTGCCCCGTAAATAACCCCTCCGAAGCACACATGCGTGGCGCCTTGGACCCATCTCTCAAGGTACTATACACTAACATGCGACGTTGAAGCACATTAATTACCGACAGATTCAGAGGCGGTACATAAGCCGCCCTGTACCCCCCCTTTTCCCTCCCTCCCCCCATCCCAGCCCATGTGTGTTCTTGCTAACAACACTTTACCTGTGAGGCAAAAAACAAAAGAGAAGAAACAGGAGATTGCTTGATTGTGGGAACTACCGCGGGCTTTGAACAATATCGATGTTGTCGAATTTCGTCCACTAACGACAATGACCGACGCCGAGAGTTTAGATGCTCCCTCCTTAATGAGTTCATTAAATAGAATGTACACCGAACACGTCTCACCTTCGCTCAACCTTCCCCCTGGGACCCCGGTGGTTCCCCTCACTTTTTCGTATTTTAACAAAACATTTTTTTTTTCGATACCAAGTTAAGTTGACGAACAAGGTATTTTTTTTTTAAATTTTACTTGCTGTTTAGGATCGTTAAATTTCCATCGCAATTTCGGACGAACCGTTTATTTAAATACAAATTAAATATATGAAGGCACGGATACGCATAAGTAAACAATCGCAACATAAAAAAGAAAGAAACAATAAAGTACCCTTAAAATATGAAGGCCGAAGAAATTCGTAACACGTCAACATAAGAAAAAAAAAATGCCTCGGGGGTCGCCTTGCTGGCACGCCGTCCCAATGACGGACACTATAGCGGGGTGATCGCTGCTTAACGCCGCGCTCACACGGTAAATACACCATACGAAAGACAGTGTGCAGATACTTTACAATGTTACAGCTCAAGCAGGTACGGTAAGGGAAAGGAAGGCCGGGTAGGAGGAAGCAGACGGAACGCTGGAGACGAGAGGGAGAAGCCTCCTCCTCTCTCCAGCGTTCCGCCTGCTTCCTCCCACCTGGCCTTCTTTTCCTTCGCCCTACCTTCGGGAGTTGCAACGCAGTATAGAGAGTCCTAGGGTACCGTCTTCGCACATCCGATACGTACGATGGGCCCTCCGGTACGAACTGCGCATGCGCTACCGCAGAAGGCTCGCACATGCGCAAATGGTACTGGAGTGCCCATCGTACCGTCTCGGACGTGCAAAAACCATCTGAGGCGTGTCCCTGCCTCGCGTAACGGTCCTGTCTGATTGGTCATACAAACACTGGTTGTAGACGTGTTCGAAGCATGATTCAAAGATGCTCGATGCGTGTCCTCGGATAATTCTGTCCTCGTGTCGGCAGCCAACACCCCGCCTTTTTGTAGTGATGTATGCGAGCGGCGTGACTCCGGCTTTGGGAAGCTCGAAGCGGTCACGTCGTCCTACGACGCGTGTGACGACGTGACACGCGCGTTCGTGGCTCCTTCCGACATAAATCTCCGTCGACGCAGACAACCACCGCGACCGGAGCTCACACTTTAGCGGGCCGCATTAGACATATTCACAACCGCGTCGCACGGTAGCGTCGAACCGGCGCGGTCGGTGTCAGGGCGACAGCGCACCCACGTTTCTGAGAGTGATTCGAGTCGGGGAGGGAAGGGGGGGGGAGGGGGGGAGGGTTGACAGGAGGAGGACAGGAAGCCGAGAAAGGCTCGCTCCGAGCCAGAACGCCGATACAGCGATGACGAGATAACGAACAGGGACACCGATCCGAAGCCTCGTTGCTACGGATGCACGTTAGGTTCCTCTGCGGGGGTACGCTTTTAAAAGCGGCATACTATTTTGTGGACCGATGGAGCGCTCAGAACTCTAGTTACTGACAGCTTAAAGAAACGCCAAAGTGGAAAAAAAAAAAAAGTTTTTTTAATGTTTTTTTTATATTTTATCTTCTGTAAATTTTTCCACAATTTTTTTGTTCCGAGCAATATTTACGCCGCTGGACTCAATTAAGCCGCAGAAGGTGAAGGTCGCAGACCGCTCAGCCCCGCCCCGTGCTTACAAGCTGATTATATCTCTCATTGGCTGGTGAGACGATTGACGTGTAAAGTGTTGGTTGTAAAATTGTCTTTGCGTGCCGTAACAGTATTTTAATCGACAACAGTTTTATGGTTGTGAAACAAAATAATCTAGATAGAGTCATGATTGTTTTCAAAAATATCTCGAGATTGCCTTTCCGGTTCGGTTTCAAACGATAACAAACATGGCTCCCGGCGTCTGCGGAGTAATCAACGAGAGGAGCTCGCCGAGCTCGTCTATTTTAATGAGCGCGAGTCGTTCTGCGTTCTCCGAGGTGTTTAGACGAAGATCTCCTCAGCCGATCTAGTTTGCAGCAGACAACTGTCGCAAGTACACGCCTTCGGAAGCGCTGCTGGCGTTGTGCGGGTGCTTGGATTCGTAGCGGGCGGTAACGGGCGCTAGCGGGACGGGCCTAAACCTAGCATCCCACTTTAACTATGTTCGTTTGATCTGGCTTGACTTTTTCCTTTGAGCGTGTTGATGCTGAATAAAGATATTGGTTCCCCTAAAGCGGCCCCGCTGCTTTGTGAACTGTGCGACCGTCGTGATTGCAATCATGCTTTCAATACCGAGAATAGACCTACACAGGTAACGATTTGCGATCGATTGGGCGGGAGTCAATCAGGGGTTCGGCCCGAATCAAGTTTGTACAGGTTTCTTCTCGTCATTTTGCTTCGAAGGGAAAGTAGTTCCATGTTTTGCAGTGCACCTGGTCTGCCAATGCGAATATTTTAGGTAGCGTTTTAGTTGTGCGTCATGACGCTCACCCTCCTTGCTCCCGGATGTCAAGTGAAAAAATAACGACAGAAAATCTTGAAGGACAGCACATTTATTTTGTTAATATTTTTTTTGTCCTCTCGGTGGCTGTTTACCGCACATCAATAGACGCTGACTTATGCTTGTATGCAGGGCGCAAGTTTGTCTGCTTCTTGCACATGGGTTGCGATGATGCCAGAACGCTAAGCTCTTATTGGCTGATTAAAAAAAAAAAACAGTGAGTAGACCTCAAGGCATCTAGCATTGAGGTCTACCCACTATCCTTTCAATCAGAGCCAATCAGAGCGCGGCGTCGTTCTGACGTCACCGAAACTCCTACGCAAGAAGCAGACGTCTTGCTTTTCGCATTGGGCCGTGTATGTGCGCCAACCGTTTAAGAAGCGCAGAACATGACAAGTATCAGCCATCTTATTATCGATCCAGTGAGATTGAGAACGCCCAATAACGAATCACAAAACAAAAAGTGTGAACACAACACCGCGCGTTTCCTACGCTGCCAGTGAATGGAGTCTCTTTAGCTCGCCACCGTAGTATTCGCGGCAAGCTAAAGCTGGATGTAGGCAGGTGACAAAAGGATCAGGACGTACTCACCCAGTGGTAGGCAAAAGGAGGGTTGTACGACGCCGCCATTGTCCGGACTTCGTTGTCCGCGGGGCTGTCCGTTTCGAGGACTACCACCATCGGGGCGCTGGTCAATCCCGACGCGTAAGCCTGGAGAGTGGTTAATAAACAGGCTCGACTTTGTTTCGCCCTTTTGTAGCCCTTATGACGTGCGAACGGCGCAGAACGTGGCGTTCCGTCCTGCCGTACAACGCGTGACAGCAGTACACAGTTAGGATTGTGGTGTTTAACTACCCTAGTTTGACAGCTTATGAGAGAGGTGTAAGACTGGATCACTGTCGTGCAGACAATTGCCCACAAGGTAGAGAAGGCGAATGCCACACTGCGGTGTCGAACATTGCACCTCGAGAGTTCAGTGCAGAGTTTTAGAAGGTATGAGTTCCACTCCTTCACTTACGAAAGCACTTTTTCTGCGCGAGTTCGTGCAACAAGTGTACCTCTCATCATAGACAACTGCGTTCTCCTGTTGAGTATACTGACAGCTCTGCACACGGGCAGATGAAAAATCCTCTCTGAACAACAAATGACAACGAAATGTGTTCACGAATATAGAAAACCGCAAAAAAGCAAAACGCAAGGCTGATCCGCCTGTCATTCTGAATGTGTCAAGATTTTCCGAAGTGTTCGTTAGGCAGTCCTGCTCGCACAGAGAGCCGTAACCTACACCGTCTATCGTCATATTGGCCGCGATCACTGCGGCAGAAAATACGGCGACAGAAAGACACATTCGGTGAACAAGCGACTAAATTCGTCGCGCGCGTACCTGATACGAGATTGAGCCGTCGTGGTTGACATTCAGCACCGCGAAACCCGAGTTGGACGTCTCTGCCGTCAACACGGCCTGGAAAACTGCAGAAAACGAGACAGGAGATGGCAGATGAACAAAACGTAAGGGCGCAAGTCAGCTGGTGTAACTTCATAATTGTAGAATTACCCGAGACTGCGGGAACGACAGAAAAACGACAAGAAGGAAATAAGTCTTTTGAGGCATCTTTCCTTCTTCCTGTCGTTCTTCTGTTGTCACCGCAGTCTCGGGTGATTCTACAAAGATGGCAAATGTAACGTATCCACGAATCCGCATGAGCGGTACACTTTAAATGTGTAGTAAACTGCGCAAACACGTAAATGGTACATTCATGTATTGTGGTAAATTTTCAAGATTCGTTGTCATGAGACGAGACAACAGAATATGCCGAACATTTTAACAAAATTTACATAAACCTTTGTGGCGCATCATGTAGGCACGCACTCGGTTAGCCACGAAGCTTTAAAGTGCTATTAACTATAACGCTATACTCGTAATCGCATCAAGGAAAAAAATGAAGTTTTGCGCAATATTCAGGAGCTGAACGAGGTAGTCCTTGTAAGATATTGTTGCCGGAGCAGGCAACTTTGCTTTTGGCGTTTGAAACATGCACCTATTGATAAAATAACGGCAAGCAAATCTAAAATTCACCGGCATATATCTTAATTCACCACTTAAGAGAGTAAATGAGTAATGCTCCGCGAGAAACCTGACATCACTGCGGTCCTTGAGGTGAATACGAGAAATAAGCGTTGGAGTCGCCACATATTTCGCCGGAATCCCGAACGTAGGTTGGTTTCTGTTAGCGAAAAGAAGTCAGCACTCAACTGTTGCATGTAGGCCTCACGATGACGGGTCCCTCGATGTGTCGCTTGCCATCTGGTGACGTCACGCGCATGCTCAGTTTTCCGGCAACCAGGGACTGCTGGTGCTCCGGCGGAAGGGACAGCTTTACGCTGGCCACGTTCAGGGACTGCGATGGTCAAGACACTGTCTTAAGCAGCGGCTGACTAACCGCCTTCTAAGAAATTCTACTCTCTACAGCGCATGTTGCGATCAGTCCACATTTAATTATCTGCATCGCACGACGTAATTTGCGCTGGAACACTGAGCGTGCCGTTCCACGAACACACGATGCTTTAAGGCAGATGACACTTTTAGCGTAAACGTTTATCCTGATCATGACATGCGAGAATAACGTCGCATTGTGAGCAAAAGCCGGCCCTCCGCGTCAAACGTTAAAAACTGGACACTAAGAACTTTTTTTTGGACGGTGTGGATAATTTAGTGGACAGAGCATGCATTCGAGACAAGAAGCTACACCAGACATGGTTCGCGGAAGTAGGAATCATCGGACGCAATCAGCAACAACAAATGAGATAGCACACATCATCACTGGGTGGTCTGCCGTTAGAAATCTCGAGTGGAAATACATATTCATAATCCATGGCAGCGCGAAATGCGTTCAAACCACAGGGAAGGAGAAAATGGGGTCTTATTTACAAAGAGTGCGCAAGTGATTGGAGTGAATAAGAGATGACGTAGACGGGTTCCAAAGCCCATGAGGTGTAATCACCCATTTTTACGCACTTTTGATTACAACAGGTTCTTCGATGTTATTTTCTGTAGCTATGATATTATTGCTGTAATAGTAATCAGATGATCAGAAATGAGCATGGCGTAACTCGCTACAATCCTTCCATATATATATAGCAACGATGTAAACGTCATGTCTGTGGAAAGATACAGACGTGCTGGACTTGTCTATCCGCGGTGAGATTTTTAAGACAAAACACGACCATTTCTCTCAATTCGTTCAACGCTCTCTGAATTTGGGAACAGAAGAACATTACGGTGCTTAGATGGTTGTTTGTTCGTTGGTCCCTCACCACGTGTATCTTGGGCAGGGTGATCTCTGAGCTGGCCACCACCACCGTCTCCCCGGGTTTTCCGGACAGGAGGCTCAACTTCACCACCACGTCTCTTGCGTCTGCGGGAAAAATTTAAGAAACGGAAAATGAAATTGTCAGATTCCTGGGAACATGAATCGACGCAGTACGCAAAGAAAATTTCTTTTTCAATCGCCGTTCCACCATTTGTATCTTGAAATAAATTTGACCAGCACGGCGAATACTATACATTCTGTTCTGGAGGAGTTTCTGGGCACTTCATATTTCGAATCGTCTAAGGTTCCGTCCATTTCTTAGACTACTTTTTTTTTCAGGAAGAAAAAGTCTTTGATCCCCCTAACATTCATTTTTGAAAGTAAGAATATAAGTCCAATTGAATAACTGTACATAAAAAAAAAATACCTCTTGAACTCAACCTTCAAAAACGTTCTCGGTCAGAGAGGAATCCTTCTGCCCTCGGTGAATGAAGGAATTTCTAAATTGTCTCCTAGAGAACTTCAGAAAGAGTTTGTATTTTTATTTCGAAAGTAAATAAAACGCTAAATTGAAGAATGGAGAAGAAAAAAAATAGTTCGTAATGTAAGCACCAAAAAAACCGTTTCGGAAGAAAACAAAAACGACACTAGAAATGCCTTTTCAGGAATACCTTTTCAAAATGAATGATAAAGTCCAGAATTTTATTTACTGCGAAAGATTGTCGCCTATACATAGCATGCCGAGGCGACGTTGGTCTTCTTTATAACAAAAATATACCTGAATGCCAAGCGGATGCTCAAAGTCAACGCCGCTATCAAGAGGTTTATTTGTACAAAGGCGCCCCCAAAATCGTCGGTTAGTTTTCGTCGCGGTGATGCTCTTAGGCGACATCAATAACAATAGCGTTTTATCGCTCGTTCTCGACCACTGGTGTCTCAAAAGTTGCGACCGCCAGAGCAACGGCCCCATCAACCCATCCTCTGCATCCTTCCCGTCTGTATACCCTAAAAACATCCGGTGCATCTGCTTTCCCGCCAGGCTCTGGGGAGAGCAAATCGCTGCCATCAATGGACGAAGCTCTGCGAATGGCGGGGCTGACAAAATTTTTTTTTTTGAGTTTCAGGTGTATGCGAGTAGTGGTTCCAATCTAATACCGCTGCATCATTCGGGGCTTTCGCAGTGCAAGAGCAGGACACGACATGCCGCTCTTTTTACTTGGTTGAAGCTAGGAATGACATCTGCGCTCCATGATTCGAACCATTATTCGCACACACCCCTTGTTTAGACCTAAGAGAAACAATCTGCACTGTGACACCGCGAATGATGTTTCACTTGCTCATGCCATACTCGATGTAACAGCGCAAACTGATTTTATTTAATTTTTTTTAGGTCTGAACATATTATTAGCATTGTCATTTGCCGATCTGGCATGATGTGTTTTAGATATGGCCGGTTATGAGTAAATAGGAGGCCAAATATGACCCTATAAGGGTTTAGATAAGGTCATATATGGGATGTTCACATTTTAACAGGGTCGAGAAAAGGCCTAATATATCGCGCAAATAAAGTCAAACGTGGGTCACATATGGCCGTATTTTCGTAAATCAAAGTTGTATAAAGTTATATCTGCAAAATGCTCTCCGGGAAAGTAGACGCCCTAGATTTGTTAGGGCGTAGGCTGAGCGCGACTAACCGCAACTCCAACGCCCCACAGATGACGGGGCGGTAGTCGCAAGATGGCGGAAAAGACGGGGATAGATTCTCCAGGTTTTCCCGTGCACCTGCTCGCCAACGCTGGTGAGTGTGTAAAATTTATTTATTTCGCTACTAATACAAAGCGGTAACGGAAAAAGCATACCATGCACAGGTGACGGAGATGCTGACGTGCGTAAAGAAAATTAATATGTTGATTTTTGAAGTCGCGGACCGGAACAATTCCTATCTTAACGCACTCGCTTTTCTTTTTTTGGCTAAAACTCCACGATGCACAAACATGCCGATCAGAACCATGCGGTAACAGCAGCACATAGGCCGGCAATCCCTGCCACCGTCTCCGCCGCTGGCCCTGCGCTTCTGGTTCTTCGTTCGTCCGCGAGAGGGCGAGCGACGCGCGACCCCTCTAGAGTTCCTGTATATAGCATATCGAGGAACTCTAGACCCCTCTAGCGGGAGCCAGTTGCGCGTCTGTTTTCCACGTGCCGTCGCGGCGCTATTCGCCGAGATCCGATCACGTGAGGAGCCGGATCTAGTGCCGTGCAGGAAAGTAGACGCTGCGCGCGCCCCTACGAACGTTCCCCTGCTTTTGAGCGCGCCGCGCGCCTCGAACGCGCGGCGCTGCTATTCGCCGCATACAGTCACGTGAGGAACTGAATCAACGTGCCATGCAGGAAAGACGGCGCTACGGGGATGAACGCGCAACTCTGGCTCCCGTAGGGAAAGAACCCTCCATTGGCGGTCACGTGACTCACCGGTGAGCGAGAAGATGCCGTTGAACATGGCGGTGACGTGGATGTCGTTTCTTGACGGCGAAATGGCGGCGACACCCCCCGCACCCTGGGTCTCCTTGACGCCGGGCTCGGGAACCATCAGGGAACTGAACACCTCTGCACAAAACGAACAACGACATTGCACATCGTAGTGATGGTAGGAAAACAAGTTGGCACGGACGGTGTAGTTCGGCGAGTCGGTGTATGATCGGATTAACCAGAAGAGCGCAACAAAATGGACACAAAGACGAGTAGAAGACACAAATGTTCACAGCGCTGACTGTCGACCATCCACTTCTACTTATCCTTGTGTTGTTTTCTGAGCTGTTTTATCTATTTCTGAAAAAAAAAAAATTCAGTCAACGTGCAGGCGAGCCGATGATCGTTAATGATGATGTTTAAAACCCGACACCTAGTGAGGGAAAAATAAAAACTTTGAAGTCGAAGTAGAAAGGCACAGGACACGTCTTCTCCAGCGCCTTTTTCTTCGACTTCATAGTTTCCTATATTTTCCATCGCTGCGGATTTTAAACATCATTAATATTTATTATAAGTTTTGATCTGCCCAGAACATCTGGTTATAAGTATTTGCCCAAAATACATATGATGTAGAAAGCAAAAAAGGGAGGATTTGAAGCGCGTATGAATACGTATATCCTTTCGGCTGGCGCTCGCACTTCTGACAGATGGCTCGTAAAACAAGAGAAGATAAACAAAAAAATATATTATTTATTCTAAGCTCATCATTCTTATTTGCCGAATGTCTAAAATCAATTAGGGCGGGAAAGCAAAGCCGTACTATATTTACTGACAGGCACTAACCCCGCAAAACAATATGAAAAGCAGCTACACATGCACAATTTTATCGTTTTCTGACTACATCGTCGGAAGGGACGGGGAACATGACAGTAGTAGTTCTTGGAACGATATTTATCGGGCAGCGCACATGCCAATTTCTTTATACTTTTATCAGTCGCTCATACTGTTAGCGTACCTCGCCGTTTAAAGGTATCTGGAAGATCCATACAAGCGTAATCTGCGTCGCACTCCGTTGACGAAGACAAGGCCAACGCCAAGCACACGGAGGACGCGTGTGCAAATCAGTCCTTTAAAAATCCGAAACTTCAATACACCCAACACACCCATTAGAGCGGACGACATAAAAAAAAAAGTGAGCTTACTTAAATTTTAATGAATAAAAATAGGGACTTTTGGCAAACCGTTACCGGGTTCTGCGTATCGCACTACCGGAGTACAATGACGCAAACTTATTACTTTCTTTCTTTCTGTATTATCAGTTCCTTTTTTTTTTTTTTGGTAAGAACAAATCCTTTGTACGTAACTCGACACGGTGAGCATTGACGTGTTTCCACACCCCGCACTCATTATGGCTCAGCGTCTTTAAAATACACAATACCTTCACTCCTAAACGACCTCGAAAGTAGAAATATACATAATACTAGCCAATCAAAGTGTTTTCTACATGATATGCTACAGGAAACAGTTGTATGAACATGCTTGTTCTGTTTTGTTTGGTAACCTATTTTTTATCTTTCCTCTTTTTCGAGCATGTCGCATTGTAAACTAACATATTGTCTTGATTCAGTTTTAATATTGAACCCTGCAACAAAGTGTAGAATTTGAGTTCTTCATATATTTAATTTGGAAAGTTTTCTGCTGCTTTCTGACACAGAAACGGGGCCTCGTCAAGCTGCAAGGTTGCAGCCTTTTTGCCTTGTCTTACCTTTTGCTTGTGAAGTAAACGAAATAGAAATTATTATTATTATTATTATTATTGGCGATCATTACTTCACTGCGGTTCAGTTAGTTTCAAATATCCCTCCTAAAAACGCCGGCATTGAAACACGACAAATAGAAGTTGTCGATCGGATCTTATTCGGCAAACTAATATCTGGTTATGAGTGGGACATCTTAATGCGATCTTCCAGTCAAGAGGAGCTTTACTCTAAATTCATACACGTATGGCAAAATTTTACAGGGCTCAGTAAAAGAGTTGTTACCGTAAAAAAGCGCCACGCGGACCACTTGCGGTTGAGTAATGACATAATCACCGCAATTAAGAACAAAGAACTCTTGTAGATGCGTTACCGCCGCTCTCCCGATAACGTGGATCTTCAAATCAAATTCAAAAGTGAACGAAACCGGGTAACCGCACTCCTTCACTCAGCCAAGCGAAACTATGTTAAACAGAAGCCGGTTGACGCGCGCTCCGATTCCCGCGTTACCTGGTCTGTCGTTAACGAACTGCGCGGTGAACACAGCGAAACATTCTGTCGATAAAACGATTGCAAAGTATTTTCCTGGTAGCAAACATTCCACGGCTAATCCATTTAATGTTCATTTCGGAAATGCGTCAAGTGTCTCACGAGACAGTCACCATTGTCACTCAGCGACAACTTCGAAAAACGCTTCATCTGCCTTTTTCCCTGAAATAACTGAGGAAGGACTATATAATATGCTGTGTATTTTCAAGCCTGGCTTATCTTCCGGTATTGATAATATACGGATGGCTGATTTGCATAGAAATTTATAAGTCACTGAAGAGTCTAATCCTGAATATATTAAACGGTATTATAACATCCGGTAATATTCCTAAAGACCTTAAAACGGCAATCGTCAGGCCCTTATATAAAAATGGAGACCATGGTAAAGTTGACAGTTATCCTCCCATCTCCCTCTTGCCATCATTGGCGAATCTCTTAGAAAAACACCTTATCTTGATGATAGCTTTTTTAGACAAATTTGATATTATGTCGCCCCAGCAGTATGGATTTATTACGGGAAAGGGCACACAACCCTTGCTTGAAGATTTTTCCGATTTGCTTCATAGTGCGTTCGAACACAACTTTTTCACATGTGCGCTTTTTTTAGACGTGTCTAAGGCTTTCGACTCCGTGTCTCATAAAATTATTTTAAGTAAGCTATACAGTCTTGGCTTCAGAGGCCCTTCTTGCGCATTGCTCGAGAACTTTTTGTTAGATCGTGCGCAGCTCGTCTCCATGTGTAAAATTCATAATGCAAAAATGTCCCTTAAGGCTGGCGTTCTTCAGGGCTCCAGATTGTCCCCTCTTTTGTTTAACATTTATGTCAACGACCTTCCGCAGGCGGTAAAGTTCTGTAAAGTATTTCAATACGCCGATGATACAGTTTTGTTGTCCAGTCATATACGTTACCGTGATGCCGTTGATGTGCTCCCATTAGATTTAATACGGGTGATGGATTGGTTTTCGGAGAATGTCATTCGAATCAATAAAAAAAAAACGCAATTGATATGCTTTCGTAGTCCGCTGAAATCGATTCTCTTGGACAAGCCACTTCTTTTTTGCACGGGTAAAACTGTGTATCTTGCAACTGCGTGCCAATCGACTATGTCAACACCACAACATATTCAAAAATCCATTTTGATTGTGACCTATCATGGAACTCTCACCTCTGCTACATCCTTAAAAAGTTACGAGCCGCTTCCTGCACCCTCGACAAACTGCGCATATTTCTTCCGATGTCCGCGAGAAGACTTTTGGTGCAAGGGCTCGTGTATAGCCTACTTCGGTATGGGATAACTGTGTTCAGATAGTGTACGGACCGATTAGACTCTAAGGTGAACTCTTAGAGGCATTTTGCGAAGCGTGGCATATGGCTCGAGTCTCCAACTATCTGATAACCTGTTTAATGACCTCTCTCTGCCAACAATTTGAGCACTATCTTGGCAAACTGAAATAATCAGACACTATTGGGATAACACTTTTAAAACCCCAAACAATGTATGTCAGGCCCTTCGAGATGCGACACCGTTTACACCGATGCGCATCAACAGACATTTTGGGAAATGCATTCGCCTATATTACGTAACTCACATTTTTAATAACCTTCCCTCCGCGCTAATTGATGTCACATCTCGAGGAGCTTTGAAGCGTCAACTGAGGGCTTTTTGTTCAGGCGTGTAATGTTGTATTTATGTGCCAATACAATTTTATGTAGCTCTTTTCACTTTCCGTGAACTCTGCGCATTGTGCCGTGGTGCTCTGCCTCTCTTTTGTCATGCGTTCCGGGTCTCAGCCTTTCCTTATTTCGATCTAGGTGTGTATTAAATTTAATAATTTAGGGACTAGTCTTACAAGCCTTCGTGGCTTTGATGGTCCCGCTATTGTGCATTGATGTACTTAAAGCACCTGCAATAATAATAATTATTATTATTATTATTTATTACGTCAAACTACGAGCAGGATTATTAACAAATCACGGAGCCATGAGTATAGAGACAATGCGACAGTCCTGACGGTTCTGCGGCTGCTGCTATCGTCTCTTATAGAGTTGAGGAAAAACAATCAAAACAAAAAGAACTGGGACAGTTTGTCTATTTCTGTCGTGTATGTTGCTTCACATGCCCCGAGTAGCGTGACCACAATCCAACTAGCGCGCAACATTTTAAAACAAGAAACACCACTCCACGGAAAGGAATATGAATGCACATTTTAACGCCATTCAAAGGCAGAATCTAGCGCGCGCGGCGAAAGTTCAAGAGGGAGAACTTTCTCTTTCTGCGCCAGGCGCGTGCGTGTATCTGTCCGGATCGGAGGTGACGAAAAACGCCGGCACGCCAACGCCCAGAAAACATCTCTCCGCAACACGCCAACCACGCCTCGGCACTTTCAAAAGAGACACACGCAGATCCAAATTCATATCGCGTTTTACAACACTGTTTCTTTCCCCGAGAGGCCGACAAAGGCACAAAACGCAAACAAACAAAAATGCTAGCAACAGTCTCATCGCGTATGCATAGCAAACGAATACGACCTCACTCTTTTCTTCGCAAAACACAACACCTCTTAAAAGTAAACACACCAACAACGAAGAATAGAAGGCAAAACGCACAACAACATCAAAACAAGAAGGAACAACCAGCTAAAGAAAAAAATGTGCATCTTTTTTTGTATTCCGGAAATAAACGAGGTCGTTGTAGAAGCACCGAGAAAGCTCGGGACACTGACAAACAACCGAACGCCGAGACGGCGCGCGGGTGGGGGGTTCGGGGCTCTTCCCTGAAATATCGACGCAATACCGACTCGGAAACGACGAGCGGGAAGAAAAGCAGCTCT